CCAGGGGGGGCGCCAAAAAGCCCATCAATTAATTAATTAATTAGTCAATTAATAAATATTATTATTACTATTAATCTTCTTCTTCTTCTTCTTCTTCTTCTTCTTCTTCTTCTTCTCCTTATTATTATTAATAATCATCTGATCGGGGACAAGACCAAAGTCGTCAAGAAGAAGCCCAGGGGGGCCACCAAAAAGCCCGTCAATTAATTCATTAATTAGTCAATTAATAAATATTATTATTATTATTATTATTGATCATCATCGACCACGGCTTGAAGCAGATCGGGGACAAGAGCAAAGTCGTCAAGAAGAAGCCCAAGGGGGCCGCCAAAAAGCCTGTGTATTAATTAATTAATTGGTCAATTAATAAATATTATTATTATTATTCATATTCTTATTATTCTTCTTCTTATTATTATTAATCATCATCATCTGATCGGGGACAAGACCAAAGTCGTCAAGAAGAAGCCCAGGGGGGCCGCCAAAAAGCCCGTGAATTAATTAATTAATTGGTCAATTAATAAATATTATGATGATGATGATGATGATGATGATGATGATTAATCATCATCGACCACGGCTTGAAGCAGATCGGGGACAAGAGCAAAGTCGTCAAGAAGAAGCCCAGGGGGGCCGCCAAGAAGCCCGTCAATTAATTAATTAATTAGTCAATTAATAATAATAATAATTATTATTATTATTATTATTATTATTAATCATCATCTGATCGGGGACAAGACCAAAGTCGTCAAGAAGAAGCCCAGGGGGGCCTGCAAAAAGCCCGTCAATTAATTAATTAATTAGTCAATTAATAAATATTATTATTATTATTATTATTATTATTATTATTATTATTATTAATATTGATCATCATTGACCACGGCTTGAAGCAGATCGGGGACAAGAGCAAAGTCGTCAAGAAGAAGCCCAGGGGGGCCGCCCAAAAGCCCGCCAATTAATTCATTAATTAGTCAATTAATAAATATTATTATTATTATTAATATTCTTCTTATTATTATTATTAATCATCATCTGATCGGGGACAAGACCAAAGTCGTCAAGAAGGAGCCCAGGGGGGCCGCCAAAAAGTCAATTAATTAATTAATTAGTCAATTAATAAATATTATTATTATTATTATTATTATTAATATTATTATTATTATTAATCATCATCTGATCGGGGACAAGACCAAAGTCGTCAAGAAGGAGCCCAGGGGGGGCGCCAAAAAGTCAATTAATTAATTAATTAGTCAATTAATAAATATTATTATTATTATTATTATTATTAATATTATTATTATTATTAATCATCATCTGATCGGGGACAAGACCAAAGTCGTCAAGAAGAAGCCCAGGGGGGGCCGCCAAAAAGTCAATTAATTAATTAATCGATTCGTTAATAAATGTTATTCTTATTACTAATTTCTTCTTCTTGCTATTAATCGTCGTTCTCGACCGCTGCACACGTCATCGAATTGTCCCTCCTCGCTTCCCGTCGCCGGTTCCTGATTGGCTGAAACCCGCCCCTGCTGTTGCCTCTGGCAAGATGGCCGCCGCCGAATGGTCCTTCCTCCTTTCCCTTCGCCGGCGCCTGATTGGCTGAAACCCGCCCCTGCTGTTGCCTCTGCCAAGATGGCCGCCGAGGCTTTTCAACCTTGGCCCTCTCTGGCCACCGTCGTCCTTCCTGCGTCACCGAAGTCCCGGCTCCTGATTGGCTGCGGCTTCAACTATGTCCCGCCTCCTCTCCCTGCTCCGTCTCCTGATTGGCTGCCGCCTCAACTTTGTCCCTCTTCGGCCGCCGTCCCTCCATTCCGTTGCTAAGCGAAGAAGCAAACGCTCCAAAATGGCGCCTGCTGCCCGTCATCCCATCATCCCGCCTCCTCTCCCTTCTCCGTCTCCTGATTGGCTGCGGCTCCACTTTGTCCCTCTTCGGCCGCCGTCCCTCCATTCCGTTGCTAAGCGAAGAAGCAAACGTTCCAAAATGGCGCCTGCTGCCCGTCATCCCATCATCCCGCCTCCTCTCCCTTCTCCGTCTCCTGATTGGCTGCGGCTCAACTTTGTCCCTCTTCGGCCGCCGTCCTTCAATTCCGTTGCTAAGCGAAGAAGAAAACGTCCAAAATGGCGGCGGCTGCCCGTCATCCTATCATCCCGCCTCCTCTCCCTTCTCCGTCTCCTGATTGGCTGCGGCTCAACTTTGTCCCTCTTCGGCCGCCGTCCCTCAATTCCGCTCCAAAATGGCGGCGGCTGCCCGTCACCGCCTTATCCCTCCTCCTTCCCCCTTCCGTGGCTCCTGATTGGCTGCGGACTCAACTTTGTCCCTCTTCGGCCGCCGTCCCTCAACTCCGTTGCTAAGCGAAGAAGAAAACGCTCCAAAATGGCGCCTGCTGCCCGTCATCCTATCATCCCGCCTCCTCTCCCTTCTCCGTCTCCTGATTGGCTGCCGGCCCAACTTTGTCCCTCTTCGGCCGCCGTCCCTCAACTCCGTTGCTAAGCGAAGACGAAAACGTCCAAAATGGCGGCGGCTGCCCGTCATCCTATCACCCCGCCTCCTCTCCCTTCTCCGTCTCCTGATTGGCTGCGGCTCAACTTTGTCCCTCTTCGGCCGCCGTCCCTCAATTCCGCTCCAAAATGGCGGCTGCTGCCCGTCACCGCCTTATCCCTCCTCCTTCCCCCTTCTCCGTCTCCTGATTGGCTGCGACTTCAACTTTGTCCCTCTTCGGCCGCCGTCCCTCACTTCCGCTCCAAAATGGCGGCGGCTGCCCGTCACCGCCTTATCCCTCCTCCTTCCCCCTTCCGCGGCTCCTGATTGGCTGCCGGCTCAACTTTGTCCCTCGGCGGCCGCCGTCCCTCAATTCCGTTGCTAAGCGAAGAAGCAAACTGTCCAAAATGGCGCCTGCTGCCCGTCACCGCCTTATCCCTCCTCCTTCCCCCTTCCGCGGCTCCTGATTGGCTGCGCCTCAACTTTGTCCCTCGGCGGCCGCCGTCCCTCACTTCCGCTCCAAAATGGCGGCGGCTGCCCGTCACCGCCTTATCCCTCCTCCTCCCCCCTTCCTCGGCTCCTGATTGGCTGCGGCCTCCACTTTGTCCCTCGGCGGCCGCCGTCGGTGGCCGGAAGTCGCCGGGAGGAAGAAGACGGAGGCCCAAGATGGCGGCGGCGTCGTCGTTCTGAGGCGAAGCTTCCGAGGCGGCGGGCGGGATGTTCTCGGCCCTGAAGAAGCTGGTGGGCTCGGAGGCCGGCCAGGCCCGGGAGAAGCCCATCCCGCCCGGCCTGCAGTCCATGAACCAGGCGCTGCAGCGGCGCTTCGCCAAGGGCGTCCAGTATAACAGTGAGTGGCGGCGGGGAAGGAGGAGAAGGGGAAGAAAGGGAAGAATAATGTGAATAATATGAAGAATGTGGAGGAAGATGAAGAATATGAATGGTTTTTAATGATATTAAGATGAATGCTTATGAATAATATGAATGAATAGTAATGCTTATTAATATTAATATTATTAACGTGAATGCTTATTAATAATGTCAATAATGTGAATAAAGTGAAGGCTTATGAGGAATGTGAAGGAATATGAAGAATATGAAGAATATGAATGCTTATTAATGATATGAATGAATAGTAAGGCTTATTAATATTAATATTATTAACGTGAATGCTTATTAATAATGTCAATAATGTGAATAAAGTGAAGGCTTATGAGGAATGTGAAGGAATATGAAGAATATGAATGCTTATTAATGATATGAATGAATAGTAAGGCTTATTAATATTAATATTATTAATGTGAATGCTTATTAATAGTGTCAATAATGGGAATAAAGTGAAGGCTTCTGAATAAGGGGAAGAATGGGGAGGAATATGAAGAATATGAAGAATATGAATGCTTATTAATGATATGAATGAATAGTAAGGCTTATTAATATTAATATTATTAATGTGAATGCTTATTAATAATGTCAATAATGGGAATAAAGTGCAGGCTTCTGAATAATGGGAAGAATGTGGAGGAATATGAAGAATATTATTATTATAAGCATAACATAATAATATGAATATTGTATTATAATATTATGAATAATATGAGTAGAGTGAAAGCTTCTGAATAATGGGAAGGAATATGAAGAATATTATTATTATAACATAATAATATGAATATTGTATTATAATATTATGAATAATATGAGTAGAGGGAAGGCTTCTGAATAATGTGAAGAATAATGTGAAGAATATGAAGAATATGAGTAGTGAAGGCTTCTGAATAATGGGAAGGAATATGAAGAATATGAAGAATATGAATGAATAGTAATGCTTATTAATATTAATATTATTAACGTGAATGCTTATTGATAATGTTAATAATGTGAATGCCTAACAATATGAAGAATGTGGAGGAATATGAAGAATATGAAGGATAGGAGTAGAGTGCAGGCTTCTGAATAATTTGAATAATGTGAATAAAGTGCAGGCTTGTGAAGAATGTGAAGGAATACTGTATTAACAATCTGAATAATATGAATGCTTATGAATAATATGAATGAATAGTAATACTTATTAATATTAACATTATTAATGTGAATGCTTCTGGAGAAGGGGAAGAACGGGGAGGAATATTAAGAATATGAATAATGTGAATGCTTATTAATGATATGAATGAGTAGTAATGCTTATTAATATTAACATTATTAATGTGAATGCTTCTGAAGAAGGGGAAGAATGGGGAGGAAGATGAGGAATATGAAGAATAGGAGTAGAGTGAAATATATAATATATATTATTATAAGGCTAATATAATATTATGAATATTATATTATAACATTAGGAATAATATGAGTAGAGTGAAAGCTTCTGAATAATGGGAATAATGTGAAGGAATATGAAGAATATGAATGACATGAATGCTTATTAATGATATTAATATGAATGCTTATGAATAATATGAATAATATGAGTAGAGTGAAAGCTTCTGAATAATGTGAATTATGTGAATATGAAGAATATGAATAATATGAATGCTTATTAATGATATGAATGAATAGTAATGCTTATTAATATTAACATTATTAATGTGAATGCTTCTGAATAATGTGAAGAATGTGAAGGAATATGAAGAATATGAATAATGTGAATGCTTAAGAATAATATGAATTAATAGTAATGCTTATTAATATTAATATTATTAATGTGAATGCTTATGAATAATGTCAATAATGTGAATAAAGTGAAGGCTTCTGAATAATGGGAAGAATGTGAAGGAATATGAAGAATATGAATAATGTGAATGCTTATTAATGATATTAATATGAATGCTTATGAATAATATGAATGAATAGTAATGCTTATTAATATTAATATTATTAACGTGAATGCTTATTAATAATATGAGTAGAGTGAAGGCTTCTTAATAATGGGAAGAATGGGGAGGAATATGAAGAATATGAAGAATATGAGTAGAGTGAAGGCTTCTGAAGAATGGGAAGAATGGGGAGGAATATGAAGAATATGAATGCTTATTAATGATATTTATATGAATGCTTATGAATATGAATGAATAGTAATGCTTATTAATATTAACATTATTAATGCGAGTACTTCTGAATAATGTGAAGAATGTGAAGGAATATTAAGAATATTATTATTATAAGCATAATATAATATGAATATTATATTATAATATTATTATATTATGAATAATATGAGTAGAGTGAGAGCTTCTGAATAATGTGAAAAATGTGAAGGAATATTAAGAATATGAAGAATATGAGTAGAGTGAAGGCTTCTGAATAATGGGAAGAATGTGAAGGAATATTAACAATATGAATAATGTGAATGCTTAATAATATGAATGCTTCTCAATAAGGTGAATAATGTGACTGAATATTAACAATCTAAATAATATGAATGCTTATTAATGATAACAGTGAGTGGCGCTTCGGAATAATGTCTGGAATGTGAATAAAGTGCAGGCTTCTGAAGAATGGGAAGAATGTGGAGGAATATGAGGAATATGAAGAATACGAGTAGAGTGAAAGCTTCTGAATAATGTGAAGAATGTGAAGGGATATTATTATTATAAGCATAATATAATATCATGAATATTGTATTATAATATTATTATAATATTGTGAATAATATTAGTAGAGTGAAAGCTTCTGAATAATGTGAAGGAATATTAAGAATATGAATAATGTGAATGCTTAATAATATGAATGCTTCTCAATAAGGTGAATAATGTGACATACACACACACACACATATATACTTGAATATACATACATACACATATAAACACACACATATATGTGAATATACATACATACACATATATACACACACACATATATATGTGAATATACATACATACACATATACACACACACATATATGTGAATATACATACATACACATATATACACACACACATATATATGTGAATATACATACATACACATATACACACACACATATATGTGAATATACATACATACACATATACACACACACACATATATATGTGAATATACATACATACACATATATACACACACATGTGAATATACATACATACACACACACACACACACACACACACACACATGTGAATATACATACATTAACACACACACACACACACACACATATATGAATATACATACATACACACACACACACGTGAATATACATACATACACATACACACACACACACACACACATGTGAATATACATACATACACATATACACACACACGCACACACATATATGAATATACATACATACACATACACACAAACACACATATGTGAATATACATACATACACATATACACACACAAACATATATGTGAATATACATACATACACATATACACACACATATATGTGAATATACATACATAAACATATACACACACATATGTGAATATACATACATACACTACACACACACACACACACACATATATATGTGAATATACATACATACACATACACACACACACACACACACACACATATGTGAATATACATACATATTATTATTTCAAATTTCCTTTTCCTTCCCTTTTCCCCCCAGTGAAGAACGTCACCTGGGGCGACATTCTTCTCTTCTTCTATTTCTCCTTCTCTTCTCTACTTCTCTTTCTCTTTCTTAATCTCTTTCTTCCTTTCTCCGTCTACGATTTCTCCTGATTCTCTTTGCTCCCCGCAGTGAAGATCGTCATCCGGGGCGACCGCAACACGGGCAAAACCACCTTGTGGCACCGCCTGCAGGGGAAGAAGTTCCTCGACGCCTACGTCCCGACGCAGGAAATCCAGGTCACCAGCATCCACTGGAACTACAAGAGTGAGTCTCGGGCCGGGTCCTGCGTTCGAATCCTGCTTCCTTGTTTCCTGGAAGCATCCTTCTACTTCCTGTCTCCTCCTGCCTCCTTCCTCTTCCTCCTTGAAGCATCCTTCTACTTCCTGTCTCCTCCTGCCTCCTTCCTCCTCCTCCTTCCAGCATCCTTCTTCTTCCTGTCTCCTCCTGCCTCCTTCCTCCTCCTCCTTCCAGCATCCTTCCACTTCCTGTCTCCTTCCTCCTCCTCCTTCCAGCATCCTTCTACTTCCTGTCTCCTTCCTCCTCCTCCTTCCAGCATCCTTCCACTTCCTGTCTCCTCCTGCCTCCTTCCTCCTCCTCCTTCCAGCATCCTTCTACTTCCTGCCTCCTTCCTCCTCCTCCTTCCAGCATCCTTCCACTTCCTGTCTCCTCCTGTCTCCTTCCTCCTCCTCCTTCCAGCATCCTTCCACTTCCTGTCTCCTTCCTCCTCCTTTTTCCAGCATCCTTCCACTTCCTGTCTCCTTCCTCCTCCTTTTTCCAGCATCCTTCTACTTCCTGTCTCCTTCCTCCTCCTTTTTCCAGCATCTTTCCACTTCCTGTCTCCTTCCTCCTCCTCCTTGAATCATCCTCCTACTTCCTGCCTCCTTCCTCCTCCTCCTTCCAGCATCCTTCCACTTCCTGTCTCCTTCCTCCTCCTCCTTCCAGCATCCTTCTACTTCCTGTCTCCTACCTCCTCCTCCTTCCAGCATCCTTCTACTTCCTGTCTCCTTCCTCCTCCTCCTTCCAGCATCCTTCTACTTCCTGTCTCCTTCCTCCTCCTCCTTCCAGCATCCTTCTACTTCCTGCCTCCTTCCTCCTCCTCCTTCCAGCATCCTTCTACTTCCTGCCTCCTTCCTCCTCCTCCTTCCAGCATCCTTCCACTTCCTGTCTCCTTCCTTCTCCTCCTTCCAGCATCCTTCTACTTCCTGTCTCCTTCCTCCTCCTTTTTCCAGCATCCTTCTACTTCCTGTCTCCTCCCTCCTCCTTTTTCCAGCATCCTTCCACTTCCTGTCTCCTTCCTCCTCCTCCCTGAATCATCCTCCTACTTCCTGCCTCCTTCCTCCTCCTCCTTCCAGCATCCTTCTACTTCCTGTCTCCTTCCTCCTCCTCCTTCCAGCATCCTTCTACTTCCTGTCTCCTTCCTCCTCCTCCTTCCAGCATCCTTCTACTTCCTGTCTCCTTCCTCCTCCTCCTTCCAGCATCCTTCCACTTCCTGTCTCCTTCCTCCTCCTCCTTCCAGCATCCTTCTACTTCCTGTCTCCTTCCTCCTCCTCCTTCCAGCATCCTTCCACTTCCTGCCTCCTACCTCCTCCTCCTTCCAGCATCCTTCTACTTCCTGTCTCCTTCCTCCTCCTCCTTCCAGCATCCTCCTACTTCCTGTCTCCTTCCTCCTCCTCCTTCCAGCATCCTTCTACTTCCTGTCTCCTTCCTCCTCCTCCTTCCAGCATCCTTCTACTTCCTGTCTCCTACCTCCTCCTCCTTCCAGCATCCTTCCACTTCCTGTCTCCTCCTGCCTCCTTCCTCTTCCTCCTTGAAGCATCCTTCCTCTTCCTGTCTTTCTGCCACAGTCTTCTCAAACATTATATTATTTTTATTCTTATTTCTTCTTCTTCTTCTTTATTTTTATTTTTATTATTATTATTATTATTATTATTATCTTTTGCTCAATCTATTATTATTATTATTATTATTATTATTATTATCTTTTGCTCAATCTATTATTATTATTATTATTATTATTATTATTATTATTATTATTATCTTTTCCTCAATCTATCATCCCTCCTCTAACTTGCTCATCTTTTGTATGGCACTCCAACAATAATTTATCTAAAATGTATATTTTAGATAATTTTTTTACCTTTAGTATCTGTCTTCCCACTTCCATTTTCCAGAAGCAAAGCCGTTTTTCTTCCCCAATTCATTAATCGGGTGATAATGTAACTTCTCTTTCACTCGATCAAATAGTTTGAATTTTTATCCTTCTTCTAGTAATAAATCATAATATCTTCTTCTTCTAGTAATAAATATCCTCTTCTTCTAGTAATAAATCATAATAAATCATAATATCTTCTTCTAGCAATAAATATCTTCTTCTTCTAGTAATAAATCATAATAAATCATAATATCTTCTTTTTCTAGCAATAAATATCTTCTTCTTCTAGTAATAAATCATAATAAATCATAATATCTTCTTCTAGCAATAAATATCTTCTTCTTCTAGTAATAAATCATAATAAATCATAATATCTTCTTCTTCTAGCAATAAATATCTTCTTCTTCTAGTAATAAATCATAATAAATCATAATATCTCCTTCTTCTAGCAATAAATATCTTCTTCTTCTAGTAATAAATCATAATAAATCATAATATCTTCTGCTTCTAGCAATAAATATCTTCTTCTTCTAGTAATAAATCAAAATAAATCATAATATCTTCTTCTCCTAGCAATAAATATCTTCTTCTTCTAGTAATAAATCATAATAAATCATAATATCTTCTTTTTCTAGCAATAAATATCTTCTTCTTCTAGTAATAAATCATAATAAATCATAATATCTCCACCATTTCGGGTCCAGATTTCCTTTTTTCCTGGGTCTCCATCTAAAAGATCTTTCTATTTGATCCAAACCTTATATAATTTCCTAATTAAAAGGTTTTTAAATGCATTCTTGTCCTAAAATAAATATGCATGCCAAAAAAACATGCAAAAATCGAATAAATCTGGATTTTCTAATTGGTTTTTCTGCTTTTAAGCTAACAAACATCGATTGTCCCGGTTATGATATATATTTTCTAATTTTCCAGGGGTCAAGTACCCATCTCTACATCATTTTTCATTGTAAAAATTTGTAATTTTTAATTGTAAAATGTAAAAAAAAAAATTACATTGTAAAATTTTTTTTTAATTTTTAATTTTATGTTCCTTTCACCTTTGGATAGGTCTTCCCCATCCGATAAAAATTCCCTTCCTTTTCTTTGCATTGTAAAAATTTTTAATTTTTAATTGTAAAATGTAAAAAAAAAATTACATTGCAAAAATTTTTAATTTTTAATTTTATGTTCCTTTCACCTTTGGATAGGTCTGCCCCATCCGATAAAAATTCCCTTTTTTCTTTGCATTTCCAACATAGATTTCTATATCTTGGCTTTATATATCTTGGCATAGATTTAGATATATTTATATATCTTGGCATAGATTTATATATCTTTTCCAATCCCCATCTGTCCATCATTTCCCATTGCCGAAATTCAAATTATCAATATTATTATTATTATTATATTATTTCAATTTTTAATTGTCATTTCCCCGGACTTCGCTTCCGGGTTCGAATCCCGCTCCCTGACCCCTTTCCTTTTCCGCCTAGCGACCGATGACATCGTCAAAGTGGAGGTGTGGGACGTCGTCGACAAAGGTGAGCCTCTTTTCGGGGCGGGACCCCGGGAGGTCATCCAAACTGACCCGCTTTGGGCCGCCGTTTTTAACCTTCTTTTTGGGCGCAGGCAAGTGCAAGAGGCGAGGCGAGGGGCTGAAGCTGGAGAACGACCCGTCCCAGGAGGTGAGATGAAGAATGAAAATAATACTAATAATAATAATAATAGTAATAATAATAATAATAATAATAATAATAATAGTGATAGACTGGGAAGATATGTAGGACATCATAATAATAATAATATTGATAATGATAGTGATAATAATGATAATAATGATAGACTGGGCAAGAGATGTAGGAAATAATAATAATAATAATAATAATAATAATAATAATAATAGTGATAGACTGGGAAGATATGTAGGACATAATAATAATAATAATAATAATAATAATAATAATAGTGATAGACTGGGAAGATATGTAGGACATAATAATAATAATAATAATAATAATAATAATAATAGTGATAGACTGGGAAGATATGTGGGACATAATAATGATAATAATAATAATAGTGATAGACTGGGAAGATATGTAGGACATAATATATAATAATAATAATAATAATTATAATAATGATAGACTGGGCAAGAGATGTAGGATATCATAATAATAATAATAATAATAATAATAGTGATAGACTGGGAAGATATGTAGGACATAATAATAATAATAATAATAATAATAGTGATAGACTGGGAAGATATGTAGGACATAATAATAATAATAATAATAATAATAATAATAATAGTGATAGACTGGGAAGATATGTAGGACATAATAATAATAATAATAATAATAATAATAGTGATAGACTGGGAAGATATGTAGGACATAATAATAATAATAATAATAATAATAATAATAATAGTGATAGACTGGGCAAGAGATGTAGGATATCATAATAATAATAATAATAATAATAATAGTGATAGATTGGGAAGATATGTAGGACATAATAATAATAATAATAATAATAATAATAGTGATAGACTGGGAAGATATGTAGGACATAATAATAATAATAATAATTATAATAATAGTGATAGACTGGGAAGATATGTAGGACATAATAATAATAATAATAATAATAATAATAATAATAGTGATAGACTGGGCCAGAGATGTAGGATATCATAATAATAATAATAATAATAATGTAGTGATAGATTGGGAAGATATGTAGGACATAATAATAATAATAATAATAATAATAATAATAGTGATAGACTGGGAAGATATGTAGGGCATAATAATAATAATGATAATAATAATAATAATAGTGATTATAGTTACTAGTAAAATATTAATAGTGATAGACTGGGAAGATATGTAGGACATCATCATCATCATAATAATAATAATAATAATAATAGTGATAATAGTAGTAAAATATTAATAGTGATAGATTGGGAAGATATGTAGGACATCATCATAATAATGATGATAATAATAATAATGATAGTGATAATAATGATAATAATGATAGACTGGGCAAGAGATGTAGGACATAATAATAATAATAATAATAATAATAATAATAATAGTGATAGACTGGGCAAGAGATGTAGGACATAATAATAATAATAATAATAATAATAATAATAGTGATAGACTGGGAAGATATGTAGGACATAATAATAATAATAATAATAATAATAATAATAGTGATAGACTGGGAAGATATGTAGGACATAATAATAATAATAATAATAATAATAATAATAATAATAGTGATAGACTGGGAAGATATGTAGGACATAATAATGATAATAATAATAATAATAATAATGATAATAATAATAATAGTGATAGACTGGGAAGATATGTAGGACATAATAATAATAATAATAATAATAATAATAATAATAATAATAATAATAGTGATAGACTGGGAAGATATGTAGGACATAATAATAATAATAATGATAATAATAATAATAATAATAATAATAATAGTGATTATATTTACTAGTAAAATATTAATAGTGATAGACTGGGAAGATATGTAGGAGATAATAATAATAATAATAATAATAATAGTGATAGACTGGGAAGATATGTAGGACAATAATAATGATGATGATAATAATGATAATAATAATAATAGTGATTATAGTTACTAGTAAAATATTAACAGTTATAGACTGGGAAGATGATATGTAGGACATAATAATAATAATAATAATAATAATAATAATAATAGTGATAGACTGGGAAGATATGTAGGACATAATAATAATAATAATGATAATAATAATAATAATAATAGTGATTATAGTTACTAGTAAAATATTAATAGTGATAAACTGGGAAGATATGTAGGAGATAATAATAATAATGATGATAATAATAATAATATTGATAATGATAGTGATAATAATGATAATAATGATAGACTGGGCAAGAGATGTAGGACATAATAATGATAATAATAATAATAATAATAATGATAATAATAATAATAGTGATAATAGTTACTAGTAAAATATTAGTAGTGATAGACTGGGCAAGAGATGTAGGACATAATAATAATAATAATAATAATAATAATAATAATAATAATGATAATAATAGTGATAGACTGGGAAGATATGTAGGACATAATAATAATGATGATGATAATAATGATAATAATAATAATAGTGATTATAGTTACTAGTAAAATATTAACAGTTATAGACTGGGAAGATGATATGTAGGACATAATAATAATAATAATGATAATAATAATAATAATAATAATAGTGATTATAGTTACTAGTAAAATATTAATAGTGATAGACTGGGAAGATATGTAGGACATCATAATAATAATAATAATAATAATAATAGACTGGGCAACAGGTGTAGGAGATAATAATGATAATAATGATGATGTTGATAATAATGATAGACTGGGCAAGAGATGTAGGACATAATGATAATAATAATAGTAGTAGTAGTATTAATAATAATAATAGTAGTAGTAGTATTAATAGTATTAATAGCATTAATAATAATAACATTTCCCTCTCCTCTCGAACCCGAGGCCGAGGCCGCCCTGGCCCTGGACGCCGAGTTCCTGGACGTCTACAAGAACTGCAACGGCGTGGTCATGATGTTTGACATCACCAAGCAGTGGTGAGCCGCCCCTCGAACCCAGAACCCCCCAAATCTCCTCCCTCGAACCCGCAACACCCCAAATCTCCTCCCTCGAACCCGGAACCCCCCAACCTCCTCCCTCGAACCCGCAACCCCCCAACCTCCTCCCTCGAACCCAGAACCCCAAATCTCCCTCGAACCCGCAACCCCCCGCGCTCCTCCCTCGAACCCGGAACCCCCAAATCTCCTCCCTCGAACCCGGAACCCCCCAACCTCCTCCCTCGAACCCAGAACCCCCCACCCTCCTCCCTCGAACCCGGAACCCCCCACCCTCCTCCCTCGAACCCGGAACCCCCCAACCTCCTCCCTCGAACCCGGAACCCCCCACCCTCCTCCCTCGAACCCGGAACCCCCCACCCTCCTCCCTCGAACCCGCAACCCCCCACCCTCCTCCCTCGAACCCGGAACCCCCCACCCTCCTCCCTCGAACCCGGAACCCCCCACCCTCCTCCCTCGAACCCGCAACCCCCCACCCTCCTCCCTCGAACCCGGAACCCCCCACCCTCCTCCCTCGAACCCGCAACCCCCCACCCTCCTCCCTCGAACCCGGAACCCCCCACCCTCCTCCCTCGAACCCGGAACCCCCCAACCTCCTCCCTCGAACCCAGAACCCCAAATCTCCCTCGAACCCGCAACCCCCAAATCTCCTCCCTCGAACCCGCAACCCCCAAATCTCCTCCCTCGAACCCGCAACCCCCAAATCTCCTCCCTCGAACCCGGAACCCCCCACCCTCCTCCCTCGAACCTGGAACCCCCCAACCTCCTCCCTCGAACCCGCAACCCCCTACCCTCCTCCCTCGAACCCGGAACCCCCCACCCTCCTCCCTCGAACCCGGAACCCCCCAAATCTCCTCCCTCGAACCCGGAACCCCCCAACCTCCTCCCTCGAACCCGGAACCCCCACCCTCCTCCCTCGAACCCGCAACCCCAACCCTCCTCCCTCGAACCCGGAACCCCCAGCCTCCTCCCTCTAACCCGTCACCCCCCCACCTCCTCCCTCGAACCCGCAACCCCCCCCCCTCCTCCCTCGAACCCGGAACCCCCCAACCTCCTCCCTCGAACCCGCAACCCCCAACCCTCCTCCCTCGAACCCGCAACCCCCCAACCTCCTCCCTCGAACCCGGAACCCCCCACCCTCCTCCCTCGAACCCGGAACCCCCCAACCTCCTCCCTCGAACCCGGAACCCCCAACCTCCTCCCTCGAACCCGGAACCCCCCCAACCTCCTCCCTCGAACCCGGAACCCCCAAATCTCCTCCCTCGAACCCGCAACCCCCCACCCTCCTCCCTCGAACCCGCAACCCCCAAATCTCCTCCCTCGAACCCGCAACCCCCCACCCTCCTCCCTCGAACCCGCGACCCCCACCCTCCTCCCTCCCACCCGCTACCCCCCAACCTCCTCCCTCGAACCCGGAACCCCCCACCCTCCTCCCTCGAACCCGGAACCCCCCAACCTCCTCCCTCGAACCCAGAACCCCCAAATCTCCTCCCTCGAACCCGGAACCCCCCAACCTCCTCCCTCGAACCCGTAACCCCCCAACCTCCTCCCTCGAACCCGGAACCCCCCACCCTCCTCCCTCGAACCCGGAACCCCCCACCCTCCTCCCTCGAACCCGGAACCCCCCAACCTCCTCCCTCGAACCCGGAACCCCCCAACCTCCTCCCTCGAACCCGGAACCCCCCACCCTCCTCCCTCGAACCCGGAACCCCCAAATCTCCTCCCTCGAACCCGCAACCCCCCACCCTCCTCCCTCGAACCCGGAACCCCCCACCCTCCTCCCTCGAACCCACGACACCCCCTACCCTCCTCCCTCGAACCCGGAACCCCCCAACCCTCCTCCCTCGAACCCACAACCCCCCAACCCTCCTCCCTCGAACCCGGAACCCTCCTCCCTCGAACCCGCAACCCCCCACCCTCCTCCCTCGAACCCGCAACCCCCCACCCTCCTCCCTCGAACCCGCAACTCCCCAATCTCCTCCCTCGAACCTGGAACCCCCCACCCTCCTCCCTCGAACCCGGAACCCCCCGACCTCCTCCCTCGAACCCGCAACCCCCCGACCTCCTCCCTCGAACCCGGAACCCCCAAATCTCCTCCCTCGAACCCGCAACCCCCCGACCTCCTCCCTCGAACCCGCAACCCCCCGACCTCCTCCCTCGAACCCGGAACCCCCAAATCTCCTCCCTCGAACCCAGAACCCCCCAACCTCCTCCCTCGAACCCGGAACCCTCCCCCCTCGAACCCGGAACCCCCCACCCTCCTCCCTCGAACCCGGAACCCCCCAACCTCCTCCCTCGAACCCGGAACCCTCCTCCCTCGAACCCGGAACCCCCCACCCTCCTCCCTCGAACCCGCAACCCCCCAAATCTCCTCCCTCGAACCCAGAACCCCCCAACCTCCTCCCTCGAACCCGGAACCCCCCACCCTCCTCCCTCGAACCCGCAACCCCCCAACCTCCTCCCTCGAACCCGCAACCCCCCCCCCTCCTCCCTCGAACCCGCAACCCCCCACCCTCCTCCCTCGAACCCGGAACCCCCCCAACCTCCTCCCTCGAACCCAGAACCCCCCACCTCCTCCCTCGAACCCGGAACCCCCCAACCTCCTCCCTCGAACCCGGAACCCCAAATCTCCCTCGAACCCGTACCCCCCTACGCTCCTCCCTCGAACCCAGAACCCCAAATCTCCTCCCTCGAACCCGGAACCCCCCAACCTCCTCCCTCGAACCCAGAACCCCAAATCTCCCTCGAACCCGTACCCCCCTACGCTCCTCCCTCGAACCCAGAACCCCAAATCTCCTCCCTCGAACCCGCAACCCCCCACCCTCCTCCCTCGAACCCGCAACCCCCCACCCTCCTCCCTCGAACCCGGAACCCCCCCAACCTCCTCCCTCGAACCCGGAACCCCCACCCTCCTCCCTCGAACCCAGAACCCCCCAACCTCCTCCCTCGAACCCAGAACCCCCCAACCTCCTCCCTCGAACCCAGAACCCCAAATCTCCCTCGAACCCGTACCCCCCTACGCTCCTCCCTCGAACCCAGAACCCCAAATCTCCTCCCTCGAACCCGCAACCCCCCACCCTCCTCCCTCGAACCCGCAACCCCCCCACCCTCCTCCCTCGAACCCGCAACCCCCCAACCTCCTCCCTCGAACCCGCAACCCCCAAATCTCCTCCCTCGAACCCGGAACCCCCCACCCTCCTCCCTCGAACCCGGAACCCCCACCCTCCTCCCTCGAACCCGGAACCCCCCACCCTCCTCCCTCGAACCCGGAACCCCCAAATCTCCTCCCTCGAACCCGGAACCCCCCCAACCTCCTCCCTCGAACCCGGACCCCCCCAACCTCCTCCCTCGAACCTGGAACCCCCCACCCTCCTCCCTCGAACCTGCAACCCCCCAAATCTCCTCCCTCGAACCCGGAACCCCCCACCCTCCTCCCTCGAACCCGCAACCCCCCACCCTCCTCCCTCGAACCCGCAACCCCCCACCCTCCTCCCTCGAACCCGCGACCCCCAACCTCCTCCCTCGAACCCAGAACCCCAAATCTCCCTCGAACCCGCAACCCCCTCCCTCGAACCCGGAACCCCCAAATCTCCTCCCTCGAACCCGCAACCCCCAAATCTCCTCCCTCGAACCCGCAACCCCCAAATCTCCTCCCTCGAACCCGGAACCTGACTCCCGCTTCCCCCCCTCAGGACCTTCAACTACGTCCTGCGCGAGCTGCCCAAGGTCCCCAACCACGTGCCCGTCTGCGTCCTGGGCAACCACCGGGACATGGGGGAGCACCGGGTCATCCTGCCCGACGACGTGCGGGACCTGATCCGGAAGATCGACAGGTGAGCGGGGGGGCGCCATCCCCGCAGGGAGAAAGCCGGCTCCTCAGGCCCCATTGCATTGTATTGAAGGAAGTCCCCGCAGGGAGAAAGCTAGCTCCTCAAGGTGTTTCTTTGATTGCATTGTATTGTATTGTATTGAGCTCCCCGCTCTGAGAAATCTAGCTCCTCAAGCTATGTTTTATTGCATTGCATTGAATTGAATCAACTCCCCGCTCTGAGAAATCTAGCTGCTCAAGGTGTTTCTTTTATTGCATTGCATTACATTGTATTGTATTGTATTGTAGGAGCTCCCCGCTCTGAGAAATCTAGTTCCTCAAGCTATTTTTTATTGTATTGTATTACATTGTATTGTATTGTATTGAATGGTAAGAGGCAGGAGCTCCCCGCTCTGAGAAAGCTAGTTCCTCAAGGTGTTTCTTTTATTGCATTGCATTGCATTACATTGTATTGTATTGAGCTCCCCGCTCTGAGAAATCTAGTTCCTCAAGCTATTTTTTATTGCATTGCATTGAATTGAATCAACTCCCCGCTCTGAGAAATCTAGCTGCTCAAGGTGTTTCTTTTATTGCATTGCATTGCATTGTATTGAGCTCCCCGCTCTGAGAAATCTAGTTCCTCAAGCTTTTATTGCATTGCATTGCATTGAAGGAAGTCCCTGCTCTAAGAAAGCTAGCTCCTCAAGCTATTTTTTTATTGCATTGCATTGCATTACATTGCATTGTATTGAATGGTAAGAGGCAGGAGCCCCCCGCGCCGAGAAAGCTAGCTGCTCAAGGTGTTTCTTTTATTGCATTGCATTGTATTGTATTGTATTGAATGGTAAGAGGCAGGAGCCCCCCGCGCCGAGAAAGCTAGCTCCTCAAGGTGTTTCTTTTATTGCATTGCATTGTATTGTATTGTATGGAATGGTAAGAGGCAGGAGCTCCCCGCTCTGAGAAATCTAGTTCCTATTTTTTAGTGCATTGCATGAACTGCCTGCTCTGAGAAAGCTAGCTCCTCAAGGTGTTTCTTTTATTGCATTGCATTGCATTGCATTGAATTGAATGAACTCCCTGCGCCGAGAAAGCGAGCTGCTCAAGGTGTTTCTTTTATTGCATTGCATTGCATTGAATTGAATGAACTCCCCGCACCGAGAAAGCGAGCTGCTCAAGGTGTTTCTTTGATTGCATTGCATTGCATTGTATTGTATTGAGCTCCCCGGTCTGAGAAATCTAGTTCCTCAAGCTATTTTTTATTGCATTGCATTGCATTGTATTGTATTGAGCTCCCCGCTCTGAGAAAGCTAGGTGCTCAAGGTATTTCTTTTATTGCCTTGCCTTGCATTGCATTACATTGTATTGTATTGAGCTCCCCGCTCTGAGAAAGCTAGCTGCTCAAGGTATTTCTTTTATTGCATTGCCTTGCCTTGCATTACATTGTATTGTATTGAGCTCCCCGCTCTGAGAAAGCTAGCTGCTCAAGGTATTTCTTTTATTGCCTTGCCTTGCCTTGCATTACATTGTATTGTATTGAGCTCCCCGCTCTGAGAAAGCTAGCTGCTCAAGGTATTTCTTTTATTGCCTTGCCTTGCATTGCATTACATTGTATTGTATTGAGCTCCCCGCTCTGAGAAATCTAGCTGCTCAAGGTATTTCTTTTATTGCATTGCCTTGCATTGCATTACATTGTATTGGATTGAGCTCCCCGCTCTGAGAAATCTAGCTGCTCAAGGTATTTCTTTTATTGCATTGCATTGTATTGTAGGAGGCAGGAGCTCCCCGCTCTGAGAAAGCTAGTTCCTCAAACTATTTTTTATTGCATTGCATTGCATTGAATGAACTCCCCGCACCGAGAAAGCTAGCTCCTCAAGGTGTTTCTTTTATTGCATTACATTGTATTGTATTGTATTGAATGGTAAGAGGCAGGAGCTCCCCGCTCTGAGAAATCTAGCTCCTGAAGTTATTTTTTAGTGCATTGCATGAACTCCCCGCACCGAGAAAGCTAGCTCCTCAAGCTATTTTTGGTTGCGTTGGCATTGAATTGAACGAACTCCCCGCTCTGAGAAAGCTAGCTCCTCAAGCTGTTTATTGAATTGAGTGAACTCCTCGCACCGAGAAACCTAGCTCCTCAAGCTATTCTGCATTGAATTGCATTGCATGAGCTCCCCGCTCTGAGAAATCTAGTTTCTCAAGCTATTTTTTATTGCATTGTAGGAGCGCCCTGTTCTGAGAAAGCTAGCTCCTCAAGCTGTTTTCAGTTGCGTTGGCATTGAATTGAAGGAAGTCCCCGCACCGAGAAAGCTAGCTCCTCAAGGTGTTTCTTTTATTGCATTGCATTGCATTGAATTGAATGAACTCCCCGCGCTGAGAAAGCTAGTTCCTCAAGGTGTTTCTTTGATTGCATTGCATTGCATTGTATTGAGCTCCCCGCACCGAGAAAGCTAGCTCCTCAAGGTGTTTCTTTTATTGCATTGCATTGCATTGAATTGAATGAACTCCCCGCGCTGAGAAAGCTAGTTCCTCAAGGTGTTTCTTTGATTGCATTGCATTGCATTGTATTGAGCTCCCCGCTCTGAGAAATCTAGTTCCTCAAGCTATTTTTTATTGCATTGCATTGTATTGTATTGTATTGTATTGTATTGAATGGTAAGAGGCAGGAGCTCCCCGCTCTGAGAAATCTAGTTCCTCAAGCTATTTTTTATTGCATTGCATTGCATTGAAGGAAGTCCCTGCTCTAAGAAAGCTAGCTCCTTAAGGTGTTTCTTTTATTGCATTGCATTGCATTGTATTGTATTGAATGGTAAGAGGCAGGCGCTCCCCGCACCGAGAAATCTAGCTCCTCAAGCTGCTTCTTATTGCGTTGGCATTGAATTGAACGAACTCCCCGCACCGAGAAATCTAGCTCCTCAAGGTGCTTTTTATTGCGTTGGCATTGAATTGAATGAACTCCCCGCACCGAGAAAGCTAGCTCCTCAAGCTGCTTTTTATTGCGTTGGCATTGAATTGAATGAACTCCCCGCACCGAGAAATCTAGCTTCTCAAGCTTTTTTTATTGCGTTGGCATGGAATTGAATGAACTCCCCGCACCGAGAAATCTAGCTCCTCAAGGTGCTTTTTATTGCGTTGGCATTGAATTGAATGAACTCCCCGCACCGAGAAATCTAGCTCCTCAAGCTGCTTTTTATTGCGTTGGCATTGAATTGAACGAACTCCCCGCACTGAGAAAGCTAGCTCCTCAAGCTGGTTTCGATTTCAGTGTGGGAGCTCCCCGCTCTCAGAAAGCTAGCTCCTCAAGTTATTTTCCATGGCTTTGCACGGCATGGAACAAACTCCCCGCTTTGAGAAACATAGCTCCTCAAGCTGTTTTCCCTGGCAAACGGAAGAAATTCAAATATTGAAATATTACAAAATTAATATTAGAGTGATGATGGATTGAAATTAAATGGCACAGCTTTTAAAGTTATATATATATCAAGAATTAGGATTAAAAAGGTGAAAAGAATGGAAAATTGGTTTTTAATCGGTAAAAAATTAAGGTTATATCATATTAAGATGAAGGATTGGGATTAAAAAGGTGAAAAGAATGGAAAATTGGTTTTTAATCGGTAAAAATTGAAGGTTATATCATATTAAGATGAAGGATTAGGATTCGAAAGGTGAAAAGAATGGAAAATTGCTTTTTAATCGGTAAAAATTGAAGGTTATATCATATTAAGATGAAGGATTGGGATTAGAAAGGTGAAAAGAATGGAAAATTGGTTTTTAATCGGTAAAAAATTGAAGGTTATGTTATATTAAGATGAAGGATTGGGATTAAAAAGGTGAAAAGAATGGAAAATTGGCTTTTAATCGGTAAAAAATTAAGGTTATATTATATTAAGATGAAGGATTAGGATTAGAAAGGTGAAAAGAATGGAAAATTGGTTTTTAATCGGTAAAAAATTAAGGTTATATTATATGAAGATGAAGGATTGGGATTAAAAAGGAGGAGAAAAAAGTCCGGGAAACAAGTAAATGTAAAAGAAGTTATGAAAAGACGGAATTGTTTTTAACTGTTTTATTTTTTATTATTATTATTATTATTATTATTATTATTATTATTTTTATATTATTATTTTTATTTTTATTATTATTTTTATTTTTATTTTTATTATTATTTTTATTTTAAACTGTTTTTCCGTTTTTTATCTTTTTGCAGTTTGTATTTTCTATTTTCCATTGTGTATCTTTCTTTTTCCTTCCCAAGTTTCTCTTCTTTATTCATGTGATTTTCTTTTTCTGAAACTTTAATAAATATTAATTTTTTTTATTATTTTTATTATTTTTATTATTTTTATTATTATTATTATTTTTATTTTAAACTGTTTTTCCGTTTTTTATCTTTTTGCATTTTGTATTTTCTATTTTCGATTGTGTATCTTTCTTTTTCCTTTCCAAGTTTCTCTTCTTTATTCATGTGATTTTATTTTTTTCTGAAACTTTAATAAATATTAATTTTATTTATTATTTTTATTATTATTATTATTATTATTTTTATTTTAAACTGTTTTTCCGTTTTTTACCTTTTTGTATTTTCTATTTTCTATTTTCGATTGTGTATCTTTCTTTTTCCTTCCCAAGTTTCTCTTCTTTATTCACGTGCTTTTATTTTTTTCTGAAACTTTAATAAATATTAATTTTATTTATTATTTTTATTATTATTATTATTATTATTATTTTTATTTTTATTTTTATTTTAAACTGTTTTTCCGTTTTTTATCTTTTTGCATTTTGTATTTTCTATTTTCGATTGTGTATCTTTCTTTTTCCTTTCCAAGTTTCTCCTCTTTATTCACGTGATTTTCTTTTTTCTGAAACTTTAATAAATATTAATTTTATTTATTATTTTTATTATTTTTATTATTATTATTTTATTTTTATTTTTATTTTTCTTTTAAACTGTTTTTCCGTTTTTTACCTTTTTGTATTTTCTATTTAATTTAATTTTATTTATTATTATTATTATTATTATTATTATTATTATTTTAAACTGTTTTGTCGTTTTTTATCTTTTTGCATTTTCTATTTTCTATTTTCGATTGTGTATCTTTCTTTTCCCTTTCCAAGTTTCTCTTCTTTATTCACGTGCTTTTCTTTTTTTCTGAAACTTTAATAAATATTCATTAAAAATCAAAATAAATATGAATGAAATATTAAATAAATAAATAAATATTTATTCAAAATGCAAATAAATGTGAATGAAATATTAAATAAATAAATAAATATTCATTAAAAATTAAAATAAATATGAATGACATATTAAATAAATAAATAAATATTCATTAAAAATTCAAATAAATATGAATGACATATTAAATAAATAAATAAATATTAATTAAAAATTAAAACAAATATGAATGAAATATGAACTCAAGAAATAAATATCAATTAAAAATCAAAAATTCCAGGGCAATTTAGCAGCTCCCCGCACCCAGAAAGCTAGCTCCTCAAGCTATTTTATTTCCTTTTTCTCCAGGCCGCCCGGCGCCTCCTACGTCCGCTACGCCGAGTCCTCCATGAAGAACAGCTTTGGCCTCAAATACCTCCACAAGTTCTTCAACATCCCCTTCCTGCAGCTGCAGGTAGCCAGTGCGAATCCTGCCTTCCAATCGGGGTCAGGCTGGATGACCCTCGGAGCCCAATCGGCCCAAATTCACATTTCCGCCCCGTTTTTGCTTCTTTTAGTGTTGTAATGTGTTTTCTTGTGGGTGTTTTCGATGCCATATGTAGCGATATATTATATTATTATTATTATTATTATTATTATTATTTCGATGCCATATGTTTTATAAATGTAGCGATATATTATATTATTATTATTATTATTCTTATTTCGATGCCATATGTTTTATAAATGTAGCGATATATTATATTATTATTATTATTATTATTATTATTTCGACGCCATATGTTTTATAAATGTAGCGATATATTATATTATTATTATTATTATTATTATTTCGACGCCATATGTTTTATAAATGTAGCGATATATTATATTATTATTATTATTATTATTTCGATGCCATATGTCTTATAAATGTAGCGATATATCATATTATTATTATTATTTCGATGCCATATGTTTTATAAATGTAGCGATATATTATATTATTATTATTACTATTATTATTATTAATTATATTTAATTTAATTTTCCTTAATTTAACGATTATTTTCCCCCATTTTCTTTACAATGCCAAGATGTAGCTATATATTATATATAATTCCCCCAAAGTTCTTAATTTTTTTACATTCCCACCGCAGGAAGTTTCTGTAATTTTCTTTAATTTAATTTAATTTTCCTTAATTTAACGATTATTTTCCCCCATTTTCTTTACAGTGCCAAGATGTATATTGTACATTGTATTGGGGAATTATATTATATTATATTATATTATATTATAATTATATTATATTATATTATAATATTATATATAATTACCCAAAAGTTCTTTACTTTTTTACATTCCCACCGCAGGAAGTTTCTGTCATTTTCTTTAATTTAATTTAATTTTCCTTAATTTAATGATTTTTTTCTCCATTTCCTTTACAATGCCAAGATGTATATTGTACATTGTATTGGGGAATTATATTATATTATATTATATTATATTATATTATATTATATTATATTATATTATATTATTATTTTATATTATAATATTATATATAATTTCCCAAAAGTTCTTTACTTTTTTACATTCTCACCGCAGATGTATATTGTACATTGTATTGGGGAATTATATTATATTATATTATATTATATTATATTATATTATATTATATTATATTATATTATAATATTATATATAATTCTCCAAAAGTTATTTCCTTTTTTACATTCCCACCGCAGGAATTTTCTGTCATTTTCTTTAATTTGATTTAATTTTCCTTAATTTAACGATTTTTTCCCCATTTTCTTTACAATGCCAAGATGTATATTGTACATTGTATTGGGGAATTATATTATAATATAATATATTATATTCTATTCTATTATATTATATTATATTATAATAATTATATAATGTAATAATATAATAATTATATTATATTATATTATATAATTATATTATATTATATTATATTATATTATATTATATTATATTATATTATATTATATTATATTATATTATATTATAATATTATATATAATTCTCCAAAAGTTCTTTCCTTTTTTACATTCCCACCGCAGGAATTTTCTGTCATTTTCTTTAATTTGATTTAATTTTCCTTAATTTAACGATTTCCCCCCCATTTTCTTTACAATGCCAAGACGTAGCAATATATTATATATAATTCCCCAAAAGTTCTTTCCTTTTTTACATTCCCACCGCCGGAATTTTCTGTAATTTGATTTAATTTTCCTTAATTTAACGATTTTTTTCCCCATTTTCTTTACAATGCCAAGATGTAGCAATATATTATATATAATTCCCCAAAAGTTCTTTCCTTTTCTACATTCCCACCGCCGGAATTTTCTGTAATTTTCTTTAATTTAATTTAATTTTCCTTAATTTAACGATTTTCTTTACAATGACAAGATTTATGACTCGTCTTCTCCATTTTTGCTAATAACGCCCATTCTAAATTCTCATAATTTCGTTTTGCGAAATTAATTTTCCTTAATTTAACGATTATTTTCCCCATTTTCTTTACAATGCCAAGATTTATGACTTGTCTTCTCCGTTTTGGCTAATAATCCCCATTATAATTCTCATAATTTTGCTTCTAAATTCTCATAATTTCGCTTCTAAATTCTCATAATTTCGTTTTGCGAAATTAATTTTCCTTAGTTTAACGATTTCCCCCCCATTTTCTTTACTACGCCAAGATTTGTGACTTGTCTTCTCCGTTTTTGCTAATAATCCCCATTCTAAATTCTAATAATTTCGCTTCTAAATTCTCATAATTTCGTTTTGCGAAATTAATTTTCCTTAATTTAACGATTTTCTTTACAATGCCAAGATTTATGACTCGTCTTCTCCATTTTGGCTAAGAATTCCCATTCTAAATTCTCATAATTTCGCTTCTAAATTCTCATAATTTCGCTTCTAAATTCTCATAATTTCGCTTCTAAATTCTCATAATTTCGCTTCTAAATTCTCATAATTTCGCTTCTAAATTCTCCTAATTTCGTTTTGCCTCCGCTGCTGAATATTTCTATTTGAAATTTGGATTTTCCCCAATTAAATCCTCTTTATATTTCCCCCCCCAGAGAGAAACGCTTCTTCGTCAGCTGGAAACGAACCAATTAGACATTGACGCCACCCTGGAGGAATTGTCGGTCCAGCAGGAAACAGAGGACCAGAATTATGAGATGTAATAATAATTAATAATATTAATAATATTAATAATGATAATAGAATAATATTAATAATAATTAAAAAAATTAATATGAATGGCGTGAAGGCTTAGTAACATCAATAATGTGATTTTTTTTATGAATATCAATAATATGAATGCCTATTAATAATGTGAATGCGTATTAATAATGATAATAGAATAATATGATAAAATAATAATTAAAAAAAATAATATGAATGGCGTGAATCCTTAGTAACGTCAATAATGTGATTTTTTTATGAATATCAATAATAGGAATGCCTATTAATAATGTGAATGCGTCTTAATAATGATAATAGAATAATATGATAAAATAATAATTAAAAAAAATAATATGAATGGCGTGAATGCTTCGTAACGTCAATAATGTGATTTTTTAATGAATATCAATAATAGGAATGCCTATTAATAATGCGAATGCTTATTAATAATAGTAATGTGAATGTTTATCAAGAATGTCATTTCCTATGAATAATATGAATACTTATTAATAATATGAATAATGGGAATTCTTATGAATAATATCAATAATATGAATGCTTACTAATAATATGAATAATGGGAATTCTTACGAATAATATCAATAATTATTCTTATGAATAATATGAATGCCTATTAATAATGTCAATAATGTGAATGCTTATTAATAATATGAATAATATTAATAATGTGAATGCCTATTAATAATGTGAATAATGTGAATTCTTATTAATATCAATAGCATGAATGCTTATTAATATTAATACTGTGAATTCTTATTAATAATGTCAATACTATGAATGCTTATTAATATTAATACTGTGAATTCTTATTAATAATGTCAATTCTATGAATGCTTATTAATATTAATAGTGTGAATGCTTATTAATAATAATATTAACGATGTGAATCATTATTAGTAATATTAACAATGCGAGTTCTTATGAATAATATTAATGATATGAATGAATATCAATAATGTGAATGCTTATTAATAATGTCAATAACGTGAATGCTTATTAATAATATGAATAATATGAAGGCTTATTAACAAGATCAATAATATGAATTCTTAATAATAATGTGAATGCTTATGAATAATATGAATAATATTAATAATGTGAATGCCTATTAATAATGTTAATCATGTGAATTCTTATTAATATCAATAGCATGAATGCTTAATAATATTAATACTGTGAATTCTTATTAATAACGTCAATACTATGAATGCTTATTAATATTAATACTGTGAATGCTTATTAATAATAATATTAATGATGTGAATCATTATTACTAATATTAATAATGTGAGGGCTTATGAATAATATGAATGATATGAATGAATATCAATAACGTGAACGCTTATTAATAATATAATATGAATGCTTGTTAACAATATCAATAATATGAATTCTTAATAATAATGTGAATGCTTATGAATAATATAAATGCTTATTAATAATATGAAAAATATGAATGCTTATTAACAATCTCAATAATATGAATTCTTAATAATATGAATGCTTATGAATAATATGAATAATATCAATCATGTAAACTCCTATTAATAATATGAATCATGTGAATGCTTATTAATATTAATACTGTGAATATTAATATTAATATTAATATTAATAATGTCAATACTATGAACGCTTATTAATATTAATACTGTTAATGCTTATTAATAATAATATTAATGATGTGAATCATTATTAGTAATATTAGTAATGTGAGTGCTTATGAATAATATTAATGATATGAATGAATATCAATAATGCGAATGCTTATTAATAATGTCAATAGCGTGAATGCTTATTAATAATATGAATAATATGAATGTTTATGAATAATATGAAAGGGAATGATTAATAATATGAATGCTTATGAATAATATGAATGCGAATGATTAATAATATGAATGCTTATGAATAATATGAATAATATGAATCCTTATTAACAATATCAATAATATGAATTCTTAATAATATGAATGTTTATGAATAACATTAATATGAACGCTTATGAATAATATGAATAATATGAATGCTTATGAATAATATGAATGGGAAGGATTAATAATATGAACTCTTATTAATAATATGAATAATATCAATCATGTAAACTCTTATTAATAATATGAATAATATGAATGCTTATGAATAATATGAATGGGAAGGATTAATAATATGAACTCTTATTAATAATATGAATAATATCAATCACGTAAACTCTTATTAATAATATGAATAATATGAATGCCTATGAATAATATGAATGCGAAGGATTAATAATATGAATGCTTATGAATAATATGAATAATATCAATCATGTAAACTCTTATTACCAATATGAATAATGTGAATGCTTATTAATAATAATAATAATGTCAATAATAATATTAATAATGTCAATAATAATAATAATGTCAATAATAATATTAATAATGTCAATAATAATATTAATAACGCCAATAATAATAATAATGTCAATAATAATATTAATAATGTCAATAATAATATGAATAACGCCAATAATAATATGAATAATGCCAATAATAATATTAATAATGTCAATAATAATATGAATAACGCCAATAATAATATTAATAATGCCAATAATAATATTAATAACGCCAATAATAATATGAATAATGTCATATAATATTAATAACGCCAATTAATCATATTCATCCCTCTCCCCGCAGATTCCTGGAAGCCATGGAAGCCCGCAGCCGGGGGGCGCCGTCCCCGGAGACCCCGTCGCCGGGACCCCCGCCGCCCCCCGACAACGCCCCGGAAGGGGGGTCCGGCCCGGGGACCCCCAACCCCGCGGAGACCCCCACGGCCGAAAGCCCCCCCCAAGCGCCGGCGGCCCCCCAAGCCGGCCCCCGGCGCAGCTTCATCGCCCGGATCTTCGGGGCGGCGGCGGGTGAGTGTCGTTAGTAACAATAAGAATACCTGAATAATAGTATTATTATTATTATTATTAATAGTTTTATTATTATTATTATTACTATTATTATTATTAATAGTATTATTATTATTATTATTATTAGGCGGCGGGTGAGTGTCGTTAGTAACAATAATAATACCTTAATAATAGTTTTATTATTATTATTATTATTATTATTATTAATAGCATTACTATTATTATTATTAGGCGGCGGGTGAGTGTCGTTAGTAAGAATAAGAATACCTTAATAATAGTTTTATTATTATTATTATTATTATTATTAATAATAATAATATACAAATAATTATTATCTACTTATAATATCTACTTATTATTGTTATTATTATTAGGCGGCGGGTGAGTGTCGTTAGTAAGAATAATAATACCTTAATAATAGTTTTTTTATTATTATTATTATTATTATTAATAATAATAATAATAATAATAATAATATCCAAATTATTATTATTATCTACTTATAATATCTACTTATTATTGTTATTATTATTATTAGGCGGCGGGTGAGTGTCGTTAGTAAGAATAAGAATACTTTAATAATAGTATTATTATTATTATTAGGCGGCGGGTGAGTGTCGTTAGTAACAATAAGAATACCTGAATAATAGTTTTATTATTATTATTATTATTAGGCGGCGGGTGAGTGTCGTTATAATAATAATACTATTATTATTAGGCGGCGGGTGAGTGTCGTTAGTAACAATAAGAATACCTGAATAATAGTTTTATTATTATTATTATTATTAGGCGGCGGGTGAGTGTCGTTAGTAACAATAAGAATACCTGAATAATAGTTTTATTATTATTATTATTATTAGGCGGCGGGTGCGTGTCGTTAGTAACAATAAGAATACCTGAATAATAGTTTTATTATTATTATTATTATTAGGCGGTGGGTGAGTGTCGTTAGTAACAAT